GTACTCGAATAAAATTAAATTCGTGCTGAAATATAGAAATGAGAAGGTACATATTTTTGGAACAAATATTGAGAGATAAAAAGAATACATTCATGAATAATTCATAGCAAGTGATAACTGAATAAGTACAGCATCGAGCAAAGTAGGCTTTCCTTGGAAAAATGGAGTTAGGAATTCTCAAAATTTTAATTTTGACGATGTTAATATTAAAAATGACGTAGTATTAGTTTAATTATTAGGTTTCATAAAATTTAGTATATTATATAATATAATTAAGAAATATGGATAATAACATAAATAGCGATTCAAATTTTCGCATGTTAGGGTGGAGGATTACAAATAATATAATTTGTATTTTGTTCTCGCGAAACATTTACAGATATCTCTCGTTGGGTCGAATTTAAAGAAGCTGAAATATAATTCGTATTTCAGCGTATGATATACGGATCGGATTTATTATTATCCGATTCCGTTTGAATATTTTAAAACAATACAGGATGCTCGTGTTTTAAATTGGACGCGCCGAATTCATTCAATTATAACGATAATTGATACGAGCAGTAAAATGTTCGAAGAAAAAAAATATTTAACTTTAGTCGAATTTCCATGTTTGGCCAAATAAATTTAATGCCGGTATTATTTACCCTCTGTTCATTTATACAACTTCGGTGTTATTTTTCTTTCTTTTTTTTTGCTTTTATTTCACCATCGATGGGGCAAAATTATCCGCGTAAATTTCACGAGATTTATAGAAAGCTTTATCGCCTCGCTCATTACGGGAATATCTGCACACCTTATCGGGATGCGGCTGCTCGATTGATCCAGCGTCGAAATTAATCGACGGGCAACGCGATTCGAAATTCTAATCGATCGTAATGGAATTAAAGCGAGTTCGAAGAGGCAAAGAACCGAGCAAAAAGTGTGAATGATCGATCACTGAACGATACGTACGTTCGAGTAGTATCTGGAGCATCGAGCACGCGTAGAATTTAATGTGAATCCGTAAAAAATGGTTTGTCCGAGGATCAAGAGGGTGGAGTGAGGGGGTAGCATTTTCCTAGATGGATAGACTTGGTAGAAATTCAATTTAGTATCAACTGGCTGCCGTTGTAAATCAGTCGAATTGATTTTCTAAGGGCATGAAGGGTTTTATCGAAGGGAACGGGAAATAAAAGAGATTCGACCACTTGCAATGCGATTACGCTCTAGAAATTAATGATTAATGGCAAGTATCGTTTCTTTTATTCAGTCTATAGTTTGGAAAATTGATTGTAGGGTTGTTAATAACAGAAGTTGAATGGAAATAGGGGTAGTACTGGCTAATTTCATTATTTCCATTCATTTATAAATTTTCGACACTCACAGCCATTTGAATAAAAAATGTCCTTAAAAATTTGATTTCTCATGTACTTTAAAAAATAATACATTCAAGAATTCTTATTCAAATATTTCATCTTGACAGTGGGCAATAATATGTTGGAAAATCTCCAATCTTCGGAATATAAGGCAACAATGATTAAGACTTTAGATTGCATATAAAACCAACAATAAGATCCAACAGAAAGTTTTTCATTAATAAAACAGTTGATGTCTCGGTGCAGTTCCCTGTAGGAAAGATTCAAGTATTTCGCTAGTTCCGAGTTTACCGTTTACCTTTCCTTCCGTACACCGGCACAAGTGCAATTACAATTCGCCTTCAACGTCGTACGTTTCCTCGTCGACGACCCTCGGCAAAGAATAATTCCTCACGAGGACAGCGAGACGTTACACTAAGTTCAGGTTTGTCGTTGCGCGGCTAAGCGGCTTCGTAGATGCCTTCCCTCTTGGACAGTTTCGAATTTACGATAATCTGGATTTATTCTCCAATACAAGGTTGTTCTTATATAAACAAAATGGAAAAAAAATACCACTACAAAAATTTAAGTTTCTATTTTTTACCAAAATTGTTGTCTAATGAAAATGATGAAATATATAGATTCTACATTACTGTATAATTTTGTCAAAATTTAGAATTTACGATTGCTGGCTCTGTGTATCCTATGAACGGATATACGATTTTTCATTTTTGTGACTCGTTTTTGTGACGTTTTATTATTTTCCCTTGATACTGTATTGTTCATACGGTTGTTGGTGTTTGGGATATCCGCGAGCAGAAGTTCTGTTTTCTTTAGAAGAGCATTGTAATGTATCAGCAAGATTGCAGCCAGCCTTTAGGAAAGATAAATGATACGTTGAAATTTACGTAAGGAATATAAATTATTTTGGTATTTTGCTGGTATTGCAAGTACCTCCACGAGGTTACATAATATGGAGATATTTGAATAAGAAAAATTGTCGCTAAAAAATATTAAATAATACTCGTGAAAGCGTGTTGAATCACTAGCGACAGATTAGAGAAATGAACAGTTGAATTTAAGATGATAATACTTCAACATCGATTGAAGGAGATGTTCCACTATAGCGAGTTTAGTATGCAGCATTAATATCACGCTAATTGATGAAGGTGATGTAGTAGTTGGTAAGCACAGCGTGATGCATTATTGTCAAGTTAATTAAATTCAGTCAGTGCTTAATTTATTAAATAAACGAACAGCGTGTTTCATTAACCTGGCGTGTCAAGCGCAATTAAGCGTGTCATTCAATATTTTTCGGATATGCAATCAACTCTGTCTCGGAAACATAATATCGCACAGGTGTAATCCCGTGGAATTAAGACTGATCACATCTGCGATTTTAATTTGTCACGCCTCAGAACCGTGTAATCTTCACGGAAATTGCTTTACCTAGCATTCCTATGAAACCAGAAAGACAACGTGGTAGCATGTTTTGAATATCAGTATTCATCGGGGAAAATTTCTATGCATGTTAAGCATGTGATGCAAGAAGCCAAATTGATGGGAGGGAAACCGCGAAATTGCTTGGAAAATATTCTTGTTAAAGAACGGTCACTTACCGCAAAGTTATGAAATGAAGTTTCAACAAAAATTTACGATATTAGGGAAATATTAGTCAAATTAATTTACTACTGAGAATATCCTTGCAAATTTTTGCTGAAGCGATTCGCAGTCGGCGGATTAAGAGCATCGAAGCGTAAATGGAGGACAGGAAAATCGAAGGCGTTAACTGACTTTCGCGTCAACCGGGTACTTCTTAATAGCTCTCCATAAAACCATAGCGTCGACGATGGCATCCTCAGTCTCTTATTGATTTCACGACAGCCAGGAGCCATTATTGTCACCGTAATCCCGGCGTGGGCGTCGAATCAGCACGCTTGACGGCGGATTATGTCTCGACGTCTAAGTATCGATATGAAACACGACGTACAGTGGCCTCGCAGTCAGTCAAATCTGACCGACGGTCAATGGGTGCATCGTCTCTAATCCGATGACTGCTGTCCGAATGATTGAAATTATCTTCATGACCGGAGCCGGTGATCCCGTTTATCAAATCTGTATTCCGCAAACTCACGGAAACCGTGTACGTTCGTACGTTACGCACGCGTGTCGAATGCATAATTAACACGGCAAAATATGCATTAAACATTCGTTTGATTATTAACGTTGACGAATTTTGAGCTCACTCGTCAGTCGCTTCAATTGATCGAAGAGTATTTATCATCGACCTGTTTCGAATTTTTTAATAATTTTTTAAATTCATGAGATGTAAGCCTGAAGAAGCTGGCAAACATTTAAAAATTGTTTACCTCGGCAAATATTTTCGGGGTCGAGTTCTCGTGGCTGGTATTTTAATGCAAGCATGCCAGGAATACGAATATGTATTTTGCAGCGGGATATTAACACGATCGTCGACGATTTTTTCAGAAATTTTTTAATCGATACGCGCAATAGCTTCGGTTAATATGGTTACCTGAAACACGCGACAATTTCAATCAGTCCCGTGACATGCGTCCAGAAACAGACAAACATTGGAACAAAGGGCGAGCTGTGATGCACTCGTTTCAAATGGAAGTGTTTAATGAAACGAAATTTACCGAGTGCGATGCACAAATTTGTTCAAAGCGATATTACAGTATTAATCCTTGTACTCCTCGTCAATCCTGGATTTTCTCTTTCAGTTCTTTTATTCTACTCTTTTTATTTCATCATTAAATATATGTGAGGATAGCGTGAAAGAATAAAAATATTACAGTAATTTTTCAGTAGCTTGCAATACATTATAAAATTAATTAATCAATTTTTTATTTTTAAAGTTTAAAATTATTATATTTTAGCATTTTTGGCCCTTATTAGAAGTCATAAATAATAAATAGGAAATCCTATAAAATTCATACATCCTCGTCACTTTGTATTTACTAAGGTTTCGTTTAAAATGAATTCGGTCATCGAACGAATTGCATGGAAATTCTATGGTTCAAAATTTGATACGATTAAAATCTCGTTTTAAAATGAAATGCATGTGATTGAACACCTTCGAATTGTTCAGTGAAAAATGCGCACTTTTTAGCCGGAAAATTCCTATTGATGTGCGTTTCATTCCACTCCGCAATTGTGTAACATTTTTAATGCAATTTATTCGCAAACGTAATTGGAACCGCACAGTATTTGCGGGATCAATGAAATTTTTACAGTCATCGATTTTTCAATTGCTACAATTTTCGAGCAATATTGTTATCGTATCGGTGTACAAATGGAACAATGCTCGATATTTAAAATCATTGGCTGCACACTTATAGTCTTTGATATTTAAAAACAGCTATATTAAAAGGTCTGAAAATTTCGTCACGCGTTTGAAATGAAACGTCAGAGATGCAAAATTAAAATACTAAATCAATGACATAAAAATTCAGCCCCGCGTACATTTCAATTTCAAAACATCCCCTGCACTTCCTCGAATCTCGGCTAATTAAATCCAAGAATTAAATTGATCGCCGAGCGATGCTCTCGAAACGTTCGAAAGACTTCTTGAATTCATTCGTATCCCGCGGTGTCCCGTCGATAAGGTGGCCGTGTACAATACATCACGTTTCTCCTTGTTGTCAGGCGCAATCTTCCATGCTGGCGACGAGGAGCATATGGCTGCATTTCTAAAGGCGGCGTACGAGGTGAAATTCCAGCACGTCGCACCCACATTCGAGCTGCAGCCCATCACAAAGCACGTGGAAGTTAATACCGACAGCTTCAAGACCGCAGCCGCTGGTTTGTATGAATACTCCATACTTAGCAGTAGTTTTAGTCGATGGAACGGCGAGCCGGATCAAATCAGCCTGGTCGTGATATTAAAACAAACTAATTAGCCAATTAACGAGTGACTAAAGGGGTGATATCACTGACTTTCAGTAGGAGAACTGGGTCTTTGTTAATTTTTAAAATTTAATTTCAAATTCTTGTTATTATTATTTAAAGCTTGCGAGCTGATCCAGGAAGGGGTGGTCGCAATCTTCGGTCCTTCGAGCCCTTACACCTACGGAGTTGTTGCAAACATCGCAACGAAATTTGATATACCCCACATTGATTACGTTTGGCGATTGAACGAGGAACCGATAACAGATCAAGAGCCACAGAATCCTATGCCCATGACCACCAACATGTACCCTGACAGTGATATGGTTAGCAAGGTAAGTAAGTAAGGGAATCGACAAAAGTAACATCTTCGTGTATTCAAAAATAATATCAATTATATAAAGTTTCAAATTTCTTATTTTTATCATTTCGAAACACGACGCGCAGGATAGACAACACGGCAACAGGGACGGGATTTCGCGATGCATTTTAACTTACGCGTTTAACGAGGCAAATCGAACGAGTTTGAAATATCTGGCGCATTAAAGCAAGCAAGCCGGGGCTAATGAGCCCGATCAAAGACCAAACTTCGGCTAACGACTCTGGATCGGCTTTTATTCTGACGCCCTTAACGGGCCAGATGAAAAAACAAACGAAATACGTTGATACGAGTTAAACGAGCCTCGATTGGGTCTAATTAAAATCCTCGATCCGCGACGCTGCAGCGCGCAAAGAGTTATCGGCCGTTTCGATTTTATCCCGTGATTAAACGCCCCCGTATTTTTGCATTGCTCGAAATTAATGGTAATAATAGCGTGGCTATTATACGAACGCGAGAATAACGTCGGCTGGTTCGGGGCAAATTTTGCTTTGAATACGAACGGAATATTTATGGCTGTTTGTGTATTTATATTGTGGACAATAGGATTTTTATTTTAATTAAAATTTACTGTACGAAAAGTAGATCAATTGTACAATTTCGAGGGAAGATGGTGTTACAAGGGAAGCAGGAGTTCTTAAAATATTAATTTTTAGGATATTAATATTGAAAGTGATTTAGGAAAGAAAATAATGTAATTTTTATTTATCAAATATTATAAAATATTATCTTTCTCCTCGGGACTATCTACTTGGCGGAGGGTTGCTGAAGAAGAGCCCTCAGAGGAATCAAGAACCCGGAAATTTAGAAATTCGAAATTTTTAAAATTATAGAAGGGTTAATAGAAGCTAGGAAATTATTTTCCAGGCGATCGCAGACGTTGTCGAGTCCATGAAATGGAACAGTTTCGTAGCTCTCTACCAGACGAACGACGGTCTGTCGCGGATCCAAAAGTCCTTGTCGTTAAGCCGAAAAAAGGACGGTGTGATGACGATAAGAAGACTCACCGAAGGGTCGGATTACCGACCTATCCTGAAGGAGATTCGCGCTCTGTCCATCTGCAACGTGATCATCGACGTGGAGCCCAACAACATCGTCGAGGTGCTCTACCAAGCGAGGGATGTCAAGCTGTTGGCGGACTACTGTAATTTCTTAATTACGTATCTGGTATTACGCTACATTCTTCTTTATTTGCGTAGATTTTGCTAATACCTTCTTTTAAAACCAAACAGTATCTTTTATCTTCCTGAATGAAAATCATTTTTGCTTCGAATTTAGCAATTTTCGCTTAAATAATTAAAAAACGTTTAAGCTCCATAATTGAATCTTCATAATTAACGAAGAGGTGTTGAACTGTAAATTTCTTTCTTTAAACGCGATTGCAGGGGTGTTTGACCGTGAGGAATTAACGAAACAAACGTAAAATATTTTCCACTTCATTTTTCCTCGTTTATCCAATGATTCTTTTCTCCATAATTACCAGTTGATTTCCAGCAATTCAGTCGTGCATGTTTAACGCGCATAGATTTCTCGTTAAAAGCAACAAAGTTCGTTGGAGTATTTACGAGATTGAAACTCGAGCATTTTACGAGACTAACTTTCGTGTCCTTGTAGAAGTGAATTTCACAGTGGTTGTACAACTTTTCCGTGTAATTTTACAGCAGCCGTTACAGCGGCAGGCATGTTTATTAATAACGCAGCGCTGCGATTCTACAATATTCGACGCACAACCGAGTACAATACTCGAAAGTGTGCTGCTTAAAATCCTGTTTAAAATTCAGTATTTTGCGCTGAAGACTTGTCCGTGCCGTGTAAATATTAATCCGTAACAGTAGCAATTAACTGAATATTGAAGGAGAATTCATGTATGCGTAAGGGTGCACGTGTTGCACGGATTTTATGCTTGAAATATACTCAAAATATTCCGCAATTTAAATATAATTTTCTTTGGAAATTCTTGCTCGTGCAACATGTGCACTTATTTGTATATCCACTTAGACTGGATACTAAAGGCTGTGATGTGAAAAATGATTAGAAGTGAAAATTTCAAGGTAAGAAAGATTTAGATTACTAAATTTATTTATACTATATTTTGTAGTAAGCATATAGTTAATTATAATCCCTAATTAAATACATTTTTGAATTAAAAATGTATTTCAGTACATAATTCATAAAATAATTTTTAACTCAAGATACGGAAAATTTAAAAAATGATACCGTATTCCCAAGTCTTTCTAAATTTAATCCCGAAGGAACACGACAACCTCCTCTCCGAGAATAACTCCACGGGAGAGTGGAGAAACTGGGTGTCTTCCGCTCGGGCGTGCATTGTCTTCGCGCGGTCGCGACTGTTCGACGTGTCACGCGGCTACCCGGCACATTGTTCCGCTTCGGAAAAACGCGATACGCCTGGGGAGCGCGCGCGAAAACCCTTCTGCGTACCGCGAACGTCGTTATTTATGGAGGTATTGTTACGTGCTAGCCGGTAATGCGTCATAAAAAGCGGATTCCGAGGGGTTGGTGGCGAGCGACGGAATGCTCAGTCCGCACGCCATTACCGGTGTCTCGCTGAAAACAATTACTCCCGACAATTTATGGAAGCGTTTAATAGAAAAAAAAAAAACGTCCGGCAATTGTAACCGGGCTAATGCAGTTACTACGCCTAGGTGAACGTGACCGCGACACGTTCCATGGATTTATTAATGAAATTCCGTCGGAAAAGCTAGCCGGGAAAACCGCGATCGTGATGCTTACCTCTGGTAACTATCTCCACGAAAAAGGTTTTACACCAGGGAGTTTAATGCGAGGATCTTTAAATTTTACTCGTAAATGTAATCCAACAAAGAGTTCCAAGTATTTTTAGAAATTTACCCCGAAAATAAAATTTGCTTTATTTTGATGAATTACGCGAGAAGGATCTTTAAATCAGTTCACAGCAAATTCATCCACCCCTTAAAGGAAATAAATCTCGTGGGCGAAAAGAAAGAAACTTTGGCTTCTTCTGTGAAATAAACAGAAATCCGTATTCCCTTCTGACGGTTGTTTTTCGAAGAATGTTATTTTATTACTCCTTTTTGGTATTGCCACGTTGTTAAGGCAGGCTAAAGAAGCCCTTTGATCGCGGCGACGGTAGCTCGGATGATGTTTGAACGCTCCTCCCGTTTGCAAATAACGAAATTTGTCTGTGTACACACGGAGGGAGACGGGAAAAAGGCGTGCCCTGGCACGTATGAATTCGTGAGAAATTTCACGAATTTCATATTTGTCCCGGCTGTCCCGAGAAATTCGTGGAAGGTGCCATGTTGAATGCTGTCACTCGGGAGCCGAGTCGAAACACGGGCTGAACCTACGTCAATGTCACTGTTTCTAACGCCTTGATGTTGCGATTTCGATTTAAAAAAAAAAGAGGGTTTGATATAGCGTAGGACTACTTTGAATCAAAGGGCTTTCTCGGCTGTAAATAGAAAACAAATTGAAGGGAAAACGGTCGGTTAACAAAGCATCTTCCATCAAAGCCCCGTTCTATCGTTTGCAAATATATTTCTTATCGTTAGCGCCAAGTTTCGAAGTTATTTGCCGCTTGTTGCACCGAAACAATGGGAGCCAAAGGGAACGACCCTTCGAACGCTCTCGAGTTCGTTTGAGATCCCAACTTTCCACGAGTACCAGTGTGTAGGTGGTCTGGCTCCTCGAGTAAAGTCGATTCTGTTGGACGCTTGTAAAATGACGGATCGTTTTTTCGGTGGTCAACACTGAATTCCAGGAACCATCCCAAATAGATGACGCATGAGTTGGCTCTGCTGCCAGATGGAATCCAAGTGCACCTGGCAATCGACAGTCTTTAAAATTATGTCTCGTTTGAAATTCTTCAGATTTTCCTAAATGACACTCAAGAAATAGGCTGTAATTCAATTTTCGACTTTACTTGACACGCGTAAATGCAGTTTCAGCGGTTATTGGAATTTTTATCGTATTATTTCATCCTTCTCCAAATAGGAACTTTTCAAAGTAGGATGTTGATTGCAGAATCGTCATATGTCGTCAACCCAATTATAAATGTTTGTTTTTCTAATAATTTCCTGGGTATGACTGCAGGATTCGACCAAACTACCCCTTTCGGAAGTGCGGAATGGAACGGGGGCCAACATCACCGGGCTCAGTTTACGGGAGAACGATTTGGAAGGCATTAATTGGGTAATTATGAAGCACAGCTGTATTTTAATGGAATCCTTTCTCTTTAACCAATTAAACATCTATTTTGCCCGCGCGTATGCAATTTGAATATTCCTTGTTATAAAGAGGAACGTTGAACAAATTGAACTTTTGTAATTATAAAATTCACCAATTTCATAATTGAATTTTTCATTGAAGGGTTAATCGAAAATAACAATATGTTAGGTGAATGAAAATCTACTTTTGACTTGTAACTAAAATTTTATTATACATGCTACAGATTTAATTTTCCAAATCACAGTTCACAAAATTCTTCAATTCCTGTTTAAAATAGAATAAACTCTTTGAACAAGGAAAGCGACGGTTCTTAGCACCAAAAATACTCGTCGCAAATCTTCCGGCGTACGCATTCGTGGTAATTTCTTCATTAACCCAGGCGGCATAATGAAGCTACGCTCTCTAGAATGCAACGAGGGTAAAACACATTTTCCGGAAAATCCAGCCGCGACAAGGCACTTACGAACAGCTGACGGGTTGCCTTAATTCTCGTTTCATTAGCCCCCGTCGATTCGCTTTGTATCTGCGATAGAGAGCTGTAGCACATGCTCGGCCAACTAAAACTTGTTTCCCTTTCTCCTCTATGCAAATCACAGCACCATGGAACGATTAACCTGGTGCTTCTTTCGAGATTTCACGAGATTGGTTAGTTTAATGTTTCATCTCTCGTTACAAGGGTTCGCAAAGAAGCTTCTGATGGTTTACAAGCTGAATTAGCTTGGTACTCCTGTTGAATGTAATTTTTTTCTGTTGAATTTTCGAGATGGTGTTGTAATGTTCTCGTTATCGCAGTGGAACTAGGTGTAGTTGCTAGTTACGAGTATTTTTTAGAATGGTGAAGTAAAACTAACACTCTTGTTTCGTTAAAAATAAATTGTGGTAATTTTTCTCGGAAATGTGAAGTAATTTGGTTGAAAATTGTTATTAACGTGGGGGGCGAACTAGCGTGGCTAATTTTTAGGAAAATGTTAAGTTAAAAACAGAATCATTTATAAAATTGCATAGTCAGAATCAAGGATGGGTTGATTAATTTATGATTTACGCAATTACTTTTTAAAATATTTAAGAAATATTTAGGATCTTCTATTTTATTTTGACTCTTAATGAGGATTCTCATCAGGATTACATTTTCACCCCTAATATAAAATCTCCAAATTTGAATATTTTTTCTTAAATGAAGGTGGAGTCAGCCGTTCTGTATGATTCGGTGTTCCTCCTTTATAACGCGTTGGATGCCCTGAATGCAAGGAATCAGGACAACGAGGATCCTGTAACTATTGACCCGGTACCGCTCTCTTGTGAAGAGGCAGAGAAATACACTGCAGGTCCCAACATTACCAGCCTTTTGCGCGAGGTAAAGGCTCAATCTCTCTTTTCCTGTCAATTTTTCGATTTCCCACGTTTCATCTTGTAAAAGTTACCAACTATGTACTGCCCTTTACATAGAGTCTCTCTTAATAGCGTAAGGGGTTGAAAAGTTAATCGGAAAAATTAAGTAACTATCAGACACCAGATGTGATCCTTGCCAAAAATTTGAAAAATGAAAGAAAATCCTATTATATTAATTTTATAAGATAGCAAGTGTTAAGGGAACACGATTCTTCTAGCTCTCCAAACAGGGTAAAATCACAGGGCCAATGGGCCTGGACGAGAATGGTCGACGTCAGTATTCCAACATACGAATCATGGACGTGAGACCAGGAGAGAGTGTACAAACAGGATACTGGGATCCTGATGGGCTTCATTCGATCGACAACGAAGAGGAACGAGAGAGTTACTTATACAAATCAATCGAATTGAAGAAATTTAAAATCTCCACCAAAGTGGTGTGTATTTTTCTTTTCAATCTCATTTTCCTGGGTAGTCATTGTTCTTATATCGATGTCGATCAAGTATCAATGGTAATGTCTATTTGAGAATTGACTGTGGTACTGCGCTAACAGCGTTGCTAATTAATCAACGCATTTCGAGGGGCTTGATGAAGCTGGTTACAATATTGACGAATCATTGACTCTGCCAATAAGAGAATAAAGCTGTCATAGGTTATAAGATATTGAGAAATGATGGAAAATTTGATGGGCTTGTTAATAGGTAGTGATTTAATGATTTGATGATTCATTAGGGACCACCGTACATAATGGTGGTGACTGACAGCGCTACTAGAGGTATACTGATCGAGCAAACACGCTATGAAGGGTTCTGCATCGATCTCATCGAGGAAATTTCGAAATTGTTGAAATTTAAGTACGAATTTGAATTAGTTCCCGATGGCAATTATGGCACTTATGATAAAGATACGAAACAGTGGAATGGTCTGATTAGACGTCTTCTAGATCGAGTGAGTAAATGTAATTTATTAACCCTTGAACAGTGACTTAAATTAGGCATTCAAATTTCGAAACGAAAAATGTTCACGCATTGGAAATATTTTTAAATTAATTACAGGATGCAGATCTGGCTATTTGCGATCTGACGATCACCTACGAACGGGAAAGCGCGGTCGATTTCACAATGCCATTCATGAATCTAGGTACGATGTATCTAATAGTTTCAGTTTCCATGAGAAATTTCGTTGCACTGCTATTTCATTCGGTGTGTTCAAGTCAGGTATCAGCATTTTATTCAGAAAACCAGAGGAGAAAGAGCCAGATCTATTCTCCTTCCTGTCACCGTTGTCAACTGACGTCTGGATTTACATGGCGACTGCTTTCTTGGTAGTTTCGATAATGCTGTTTCTGCAGGCTAGGTAAGACGAGAGGGGAAATAAAAAGAAAATTTAAAATTCTTGGGAGAAAGATTTTTCTTTGACTGGGTAGTTAAAAACACTTGATCCGAGAGAAGTAAAATAAAGATTCTGAAATATACATTTTTCCTTTAACATTTCTCAGATGACATTTATATCCCATTGTAATCGTAATAAATGGAGAAAGCATAGTTTCATTTTATTTTCCAGATTCTTACAGAAATATTCATAGAACATAGGATTTTGAAGGATTTTAAATATTCTCTTTCAGAATAGCTCCCGGTGAATGGGACAATCCACACCCATGCAACCCAGACCCGGAGGAGTTGGAGAACAATTTCACTTTGAAGAACTCCATGTGGCTCACTTCCGGCTCTATCATGCAACAGGGCTCCGATATACTTCCCAAGTAAGTCTAAACCCGTGAACTTAACAAAGCACCTATGCCACCGCAGCCTACCTTACATACATGCAGACCCCGTAATAATCGCGAAACAGAAACCGCAACAATGCCGCAAAGAGATGCAACCGCACCTGTTTTGCTTGTGCACTCGCGATTCTGTAATTACGCCTTTAAAGTAGCTCCCATAAAATGAAGACCCTTGAAGTACCATTAAAAAAAAAAAAAACCCCCTTTTCCTTACCCATATTTATTAATTTTATAATTCTAATCAAAATCTCTTCTGAATCTGTTCCCAACAAATTCATAATAATGACACCACAGTGTCATTATTCAACTACAAAGATTTTCTTGTGCAAAGAATTGAAATAAAAATCCGCTCCAAAGTCGGCGCAAGCGATCTCATTATTCTGCTTAAGGAATAAGTAAAATATCGCGGAATCGTCTATAGAAAAGCATACAGAGACGGTGCCAAAAGCAGCGCACCGTTTCTTTTCCTTTCGTACGCTCCCCTGTCTCCAGCGATCCTCTTTTTTTCACGACAATTAAGCTTAACGAGCCGCTGTTTGCCGGACATATTTGAGGCGGCTTCCCACTTATTAGCGCCGGCACGGCGCTAACTCTCCTCCTCGGCTCGTAACGTCCCGCGTGTTTGCTCGCTACATACTGACGACGAACCGACTAAAGACGAGGAGGAACAACAGCAACCCTCCTAACTGCTTTCTAGCCGCTTGTTTATGCAACTTATGGAAAGATTATTTGGGAATGTTCACCATATCCTCCTTGATCTCCTCACTGAAGAATATTGTACGTTTGTATGTTAAATTATTTAATTACAATCCTCGTACGATCAAGGTAAATTCAATGGACTGATCAAAGAGTTAAAATGAAGTAAATTAAAAATTGCGTATTTAAATTCGTGAAACTTTATCGTCCAATGTGCTAAACGAGTGGAAGTCGCATCTTAGCCAGATACCGGTCGGAAAATCTAGCGAAGACAACGCGTCGCGAGAAGCACGCATCGCGTTTTCCTAATTAAGCACAAGCTAAAGGCCCGTGTATGCAAATGACGCCTGTTTGCCGAGTATAGCATACGCGTACACGTGGACATTCTCTGTAGCGCGAGCGTGGGCGTGAAGCCGAACAAACAGAAACAAAGGGCACATTGTTTCTCCGCGAACCGGGACCTCGCCTACGACAAATAGATCGCTATTAAATTGCCGTGCTGATATTCTCTGTTGGAATTCGATAAACTATATCCCTCGCAAACGATGAAAGCGTAATATACCCACTCTTCGTCAAAATTAAAACACGTGCATAATTTTCAAAATTAATTTCCTACTGCAAAGGCTTGGAATTGATAAAAATATAGAACAATAGAAATTTACAATAATAAGTATTTTCTTACATTGCTTAAAGAGCACCATCGATCCGAATGGTGGCTGGCATGTGGTGGTTCTTCACATTGATCATGGTTTCTTCGTACACTGCCAATTTGGCTGCGTTTTTGACAGTCGACAAAATGGATACCCCGATCAAGGGTGTCGAGGATCTCGCCAAACAGACAAAAATTAAGTACGGAGCCGTAGATGGTGGATCCACGTCTGCCTTCTTCAGGGTATAATTCAATCAAGAAACATTTGATTCGGTCAAATGTGAATCTTAATAAAGAGTGGCATTGTCCTCGCTACAGGATTCGAATTATTCAACTTATCAACGCATGTGGGCTGCGATGATGGAGACAAGACCAAGTGTCTTCACGAAAACTAATGACGAGGGGGTTGAGCGAGTGTTGAAGAAATTCGATTACGCTTTCCTCATGGAATCGACCACAATAGAGTACAGAATGGAGAGAAACTGTGACCTCGATAAAGTTGGAGGGCTTATCGATAACAAGGGATATGGAATTGCCTTGCCACGAAGTGAGTTAAAATGAAAAAAAAAAATACAAATTTTCTCGATGAAATTGCAACGAGAAACACTTTGAATATGAATTCTTGCCCAGATTCCCCGTACAGAACCCCCATAAGCGGCGCGATACTGATGCTGCAAGAGAAAGGGGTGCTGCAAGATCTAAAGAAAAAATGGTGGGAGGAGCGTGGTGGTGGGATGTGTTCCAAGGGTGATTTAGAGCCGACAAATTCGAGCGAATTAGGGTTGCCCAACGTCGGTGGTGTTTTCTTGGTCCTTTTGATCGGATGCTGCGGCTCGATCTTTATTGGCATTTGCGAATTCCTCTGGAATGTCCGTAAGGTCGCTGTAAACGAAAAGGTGAGTCATTTTACTCTTCCTTACCTAAAATGTGCAACTGGATTTATACAAGTAGTTCGTTGCATTTGAATAAAACCTTGAAATTTACACGAGCCAGAAAGTGTTTGCCAAATATTTTACACGAAGCTGACCGAGGTATCTGTAGAAATAAAATAAGAAACAGTGGCGAAAAAATTATGAAGCAAATCCTTTTTATATATGATCATATTATTAAAAAAATGGAATGCAATAATGTTAGTTGATTGGAATGAAAAAAAAATTGCAACTGAAATGTCGCATTAACGCAACATTGCTTCTTAATGGGTGCACCGATGCACCGACACAAGACCATTTTTCGTCGGCGTTCTTGCAGGTCACTCCGTGGGAGGCACTGGTAGCAGAATTGAGATTCGCCGTGAACATTTGGGCGGAGACGAAACCCGTTAAAATCTCGAAAAGCAGCGGCACGAGTTCGATGGACGACGGTATCGGCAGGGCAGCATCGACGGCTCGTTCCATCGTCGGCTCCTTCCTTCGACTCGACATCCTCGACAAATTCGATAAAGATAACAACACCAATGATCGCAGCAACGATCGCAAGATTAATTGAAACAACGTTGACGAATAGATCGATTCGTTTGTTGCTAAAGGACAATTAGAGTGATCAGTAGTTAGAATCTTTTATATTGCTGCAAGTTGTGTATAGAGTATAACAAATAGGTTTTGCTATTTAGAAATTATATTCTTTATTGGGTGTTGATAATTTAAAAATGAAAAATTTTATAATTTATAACTGGAAGTTTAACGAATAATTTGTTTTTTAATAAAATAAATTAATATAATTTCAGGTCGTGCAGGTTGGCAGAGTTTGATTTTTATTCATTTTGAAGGATAATAAATAAAATATTAATTGAAGTATTAACGAAATCATGTCACTATTTTTTTTATTCAAGTATTAGAATTACAGAGTGAAAAGTGTGTAACGAAAGGAAGGCGGATTTATGAAGATTCGAGGAAGCAGGTCATAGATGAAAGAAACGTCAGGTCGGCTTGCGCCTCTGTGCATAAAGTCGTCATTCTCGAAAATAGTCGCACAATAGCGACGTCATGGGAAGGCAGAAATCTTCGCTGTAGGTCCGGAAAGGAATCCAACAATATTTGGACTCGGCTACAATGGCGCTAACGAACCGTGCCCTTGGTTTAGGAGATTTTCGTCCGGAGAAATCACCTGGAGGTCCCCTGATACCAGTACCCCCTGAGAGCAAGCCGGCATCTTTGTGTCATTATTACCGAGGGACGTTTCCGTGCGTAAGCACCGATCTCCAGGCGAAAGGACACTTTCAACTTTACCGACTAGACGTGGCTTGCGTCAGAAGGAAGTCGATGGACAATTGGTCCCATAACCGATGACAAACGTCAGAACTCAAGGTTTGAATTTCTCCAGAATATTTTTAATTCTTTTGTCATAAATCTTTCTAAATACTTATCATTCGCCAAAGGGAAATTTATTTTCATTAAAACTGTTTCGTAAGCATCGAAATAAACGGCACTTTGCCAAGGTCTTTATTTCTATTCCGATCGATTTACGAAACTAATCACCACTCGCAATATACAATATTAATTTTAATTTCTCAAGTGATGTTCAGAAGGCGGAAAAGCAACTGGGTTAATGTTAACCGGTACCAACGAGAGGATTTCGAAGCATGAAGTCGTAGAACTTCGCCTGCAGGCAGTTTAGTGATAAAGGTGTAAGGACATCAATTAATACTCGTTTTCATTAGGGCTGTAAAAGCGCGTAACGCGATTACGGGTAACATTTACGACAGCCAAACGAGCTGTTAACTATACGGTATTTTTTGCTGCAGGACGTTCATAATCGCGAGCGTTTCGCCAAACGAAGCTTTCGTCTCTTTACGGCTACGCTGACGCGTCTTTTACGAGCAGGCGTTTAGAAGCTGACACGGTAAGCTGGCTGTATTATTGACTGAAATCTTGGATATTGCGTTTCGCTGGCCATTTTCAACCGTTTAGCCACTTTATTTTCCTCGCGTCCTGATCGTAACCTTTATGCAACTTTATTGGAAGCTTGAATTATCTAGACTTGAATCAATAGAAGCTTGATATCTTGATTCTAAGTATTGCTTATAAAAATTCTTATTCCTTGTCTGATAACAAAATCCCAATTTAAAATGGCTTAACAAACGAAGCTGTATATTTAAAAAGGTATAATTTCCGGATTGTCCTCGCGTGTAAAATAAGTAATCCTCTTACCGAGCCCCGATTTATCTTAATATTTCCTCTTATTGTTCCCTGTATTACATTCTAGCAATCCCTTTAAAAGCGAATCGTTACATTTTATTAATACTCCGTAAACGTGCAACAATTTCGCGCAATAAAACGCGGCTTTTCAAAAGGAATACTCGAACGAAATCCGTTCGAATGTGATTATCGAGACTGTGCTCGATGGTGATTTAAAGGGGCTGAGGATTTAACCGGCTAGCGGATTCAGATTATCGAGGAATCCTCTTAATCGACGCCGGAATAAATCGTCGTACAAGGGGTTAATTAAGTTTTATGGCTGGAAGAGTGGAGCCGATGTTATGCAGGTGTACAGGCCTCGGTTATCTACGATACATCTTCATCTTGGCAAGGCTGACTTGGCCAATTGAAGCCTCTTCTTCCAGTCGCGCTCGCTCGCACCTTCACGATCTTATCGGCACTTGGCGAAAAACAACAGGTGCACGAAATCACGGCCACCGCTTTCATGTCCTTTACGACCGCGCCGAATTTCAAATAGCCTCGTAAAATTGTATCCCTCTACGTTCCGCGGTGTGTCTTCCCCTCTGGGATACCTTATCGAGGGGATGAGAAAGAAAAAAACGTAAAAGAAGTTAGGTACAAGTTTTTTTATTAGAAAATATCATTTTTAGATGATATTTAGGCTGATGTATAGGGGTGTAAAACATCCATAAGTATTATCATTTCTTTCATCCCTTCGATTGTAATCATCCACCCCTTTCAGTATATCAAAACTAATCTCCTGTAACCTTGACTCCAGTGTCTTCTCCATTCCAGAACTAGATATCACTGGATAGATCGTGGAACCGCGGTATCAGTCGGCTTCGTTGCTAGTGACATTCGCGAAATGGTCGGCATACCATGGTCCAGAGGTAGGAGGCGGCTATCCATATAAAATCCGTAGGTGTTAGGCAAAGGAAGGCGTGCGTGGAAGCTGAAACGTAGCCTTCCCTTTCAAAGGGGGAACCGCGGCCTTAGCGAACGCCGGGCTCGTAGGAATTGAAATTGATTTCGGTCAACTTCCATTACTCAAAGAGGACCAGGGAACGCGCACCGACAAAAGTCACAGACCGATCCTACGTGGATAAGAGGCTTGCCCCCGTAGCCCAGGACCCGGTCGAACCAAAGGAAAGGTTCCAGCCGACCATGGGCCAGGAATTCCTGGCGAGTTTTACCAGCGGGAGAGAGGGAGTAAGGAGCTTTTCTCTACGTCTTTCTCTCCTGGCTGCCTCCCTTCCGTACGACGGTGGTGCGGAATCAATTTTTAGCCGGACAGGCTTGTTGCTTGCTCGGGGATGAATGGGGAGGATCGCGGGCTGGCTACGAGGAAGATTCCTCTCGGATGATTGCAAGTTTTTGTATGGTTAGGGAGACGACGGGGCGATGAAGATCCACGGGGTTTGAATAGCGGTGTCGATTATTTGTTTGTTTTCGAAACTAAGTGGAATTAATGGGAAACGTGGATGGGGGTTCTGTTTCTCGCTTTTGTTCGGCTCTTAGATTCCAATACTGAGGGACTTAAAAGTTTTGGTTTAGGAATTGACAGTTATATTATAGGTATTTTGGTTTATTCGGAAGAAATATATTATGACGATTTTCAGATTTTTTATAAAAATAATTTCTGTTTTAATCGTTTCATGGTCTGACATAAGCCGAAGAACTTCCATTCCCAGAAACCACTTGAAAGTCAATCTCATCCCATTCTGAGGACGCGTTGGTGAACGTCGGCACGGCGTTTGACGGTCTCGAAATTCCCGATGGACTCGTCAGATTTTTCCATTGTGTCACCCGTCGTGCCGCTTTATGACTGACGATAATCACGAGAAAAGCGAGACCACCCGGTAGGTAGCACTCCAGAACTTCCGGAATCTTTCTACACTCAGGGTTCCCGGTAAAGGAGCTTGACTCCGATTCGGGGAACCTTACCTGTGGGAAACATCGAGGAATTCAAGAAACTTTCACTTGAATTCGTTAGTACAACGTGAAAATTTGTCAAAAATCATGAAGAAATTTGAAATAGACATTTCCGTCACTTTTCGCGAAGTGGATCGCGGGATAGATAGAAAATTCGTAAGAGTTCGATGAGAGTTCATTCATAGTTCATCGCGTGCCGTCGGAATGCGAGCGTAGGAGGCGTCCCGACGCGGCGGCACCGCGCCCGCCGCGGTATGCAAAGTCAAAGCCAAGTCTCGGGAAGCAGGCTCACGATGGTATCGCCGCTTGTTAAGGGGACTCCAGACTATCGCAGCGGGGTGCTTCTCTCGGCGGCGAACCTCCAAGAGAACGCGAGCTCCTCTCGGCCCTCGGAAACACCGCGCATCCAGACGGATCGTTAAAAAAGTAAGAGAAGTAATGGCCCTATGCCGAAAGTGGCGTCACGGGTTACCGCGCGCCGGATCGGCCCTCGTGTACCAATTTTCTGATGGCAGGCGAAACGAACCGCGGGGAAGCTCGTCGAAGCTCTTATTTATCTCGATCACCGGCGAAAATTATAGGACCGAACGATCTCCGAGTTCCTCCATATTTTCACTAAAAGTTTCATCTTGTTATTTTGAAACTTTCCCTGCCTCCAGAAACGAGCTCCCGAAAGAGAAACTTCCCACCCTAAATTGACCCAAATATTTTCCGGAGAGTCGGCAACGGAACGAACTCGTGATTCGTCCGATAAGCAACCCCCAATTAGCAACCCCTCGATGTTTCCGTTGTTATTTCTCCCGTGTTCGATTATTATTTCGCTGTTTGTTCTTTTAATATCGTTTCGATGCAGCCGGTTAGAGAAGGCTGACTACCTTTCTCTCTCGAAAGGATTAAAAAAAAAAAAAAACAAGTGAAATATCGTTTTATGGTAATCCACGATCCGCCGTATATCAGAGACAGGCGTGTTCCTTTCTTTTTTTCGGACGTCCGCTTTTGGATACACCGGCCCACTAGGCATATATTATATATCAGTTGTGTTTATTAGGGAGCGAAAACGTGTCTACTGTACGCGGCCGGGATAAAGGCGGTGACTACAAAGGAAAGGAAGACAAGGTAGTTTGCTGGAGAGCAGCAGCTTACGGTGAACCAACACGAGCTACTTGTTTGCACGAACGGGGCCCGGTCACCTACTACGTAAGTTTACACGAGCCAACGGGGCTCGCTTATCGTCCACCATCCTGTTTATCGTTATTAAAATACGCTTAACTGTTCTCTGCTTGGTAATCCAGACCATTTAAAGGTTTTCGGCTTAACACTTGTATAGCCTGTTGCGAAAGCCCCGCGGATCGGCTCGAAAAAGGATCTTGCAACATTGCGTTGCTTTGTAACCGGATTAAAAACCAATTTGGTCTTATGGGAAAGTTCGTGATTTCAGTTTTAACCCTTTCAGTGGTAAATTTGGCAAATGGTCCGTGCGTCGCATAACTTGTTTCGCGTGGAATTAATTTTTATACCATTTGGAAATTGAAAAGCTTTCGTTCGTGAATTATTTTATATCGGGATCAGATAAATCATTTGTTCGGTGATTTTGGAAATTTTAAACACTTTGCATTAACAGAGCTATTGGTTTGTT